GAAAATCATGTCTGACGATTTTTTTATTATATGACAAAACAATTGCTAGACTCTACATTGCTAGACTCTAGTCCGAATACTGTTGTTCGGAACTTTTATATATGCAAGATTATCATGAAAATGTCGTAAGCAGGATTCAGGCACCTGTCAAATATGTAGTTTTGTATGACGGCTACCCGTATCAATCTACTCAATGTTTTCTCGTGAGAAACATTAATGAATTCGGAAATTCTTCTAGCATACCTATACTGAGACCTAAGAGCTCATATCTCAAGGTAGGTGGTGGCATTTACACTGTAGATGTCTATGGGCACCTGTAACCACTTAACGCTACGGGGCCTTTGAGCTCTTCCATCCACATATAATAAAATAAATAGTACATATGAAATAAAAATATATATTGTAGTCAAAGAAAGTATCTGTGTACTACACAACCCGTACGTACCCACATGGTATAACAGATCCCAACACCATAAAGTTTATTACCTGCCAATAATACAAATAAATCAAGTTCCCGCATCACTCCGATCTGAAGTTTTGTACGTGACTCCTAACTTTGCTCCGACTGGTAATTTATTTATATCTTTTGTTTTAGACGCGTTTCCCTACTTACTTACTTACTCTGTAAATACATACCCTGTAAGTATGTGTTGTTACTCATGCTTAATGGGACTTAAAAATTGAAACAAGATAAACTATTGTGTACAATTGGCGCAATTCACGAATGTATCAAGGTCCGATAACCGCTTAATACCAGATGAACCGTGAGCCGGTGTGCCAATCTAAATAATACTTTAAAAAAATCCTCTTATCTCATATACAAAAATACAACATTATTGCTTTGTAATAAAAACTGAACCAATCAAACAAAATAAAAATGAATGAGGCGGAAATCAAACAACACGACCATATAAAACAATTTCAAACGCTCAAAACAAAAACAATAATACGTACGTATTAAGTATGGTACATTTGTTTTTATTGCGTAGACTTCGTGTATTACATGCGTAGTCGCGCTAACTTACAAGTCGTCTGAGACTCCAAAACATTATCCCCTCAGTTTCAACGGAAAATTTAGGGATAAAAAAAACTAATTTCTTAATAACCATACTACTTATGATTTGAGGTCAATTAAAATGTTTATCGATTTATCCCTCATCGTATAACTAACTGGTCGAGTGTAGTGAGGAACTAATAATAAAAGGTTGTTGACTTAAACGCGCTCCGCCATTATCTGAAGTCGCCCCCTGCACCCCGCGCGCCCCTCACACCGAAGACCAAAATACAAACAGATTGACGTATGCTCATCATTACATTTACTGGAAGAACAAGAAGCGACCCCTTTACGAGTACACACTTATAATATTATTTTCAATTCTTTCTTAGGCACCCCGACTCCCTACATCCAATTACTTAAGTGCTTCAAAACGCAGCGACACAGATATAACCATCTCGTTTCTGCACACGTATAAAACGAGCTCCGTCTCGCGCTAGAGCGGGGACGGCATAATTATGTATATAACTATTATTTTTCCAAGAGAACGTCGTAATAGATAATAGAGTTTCAGTGGCGGAGAATAAAGACGTATGAATACAGCGGCCATTTTTATTTTTATAGGTAATTAATTCTGTTATTGTACTTTCTGTTTCGTAACGATCGCGAATTGCGAAAGTTTAATGCTGATTGTTTTTTGGGGCCAGTTCATTCTTTTTTTTTTATTAATGATCTTCACATTATGTCTTGGAAGGGAGGGGGATGGAAGCGAGATATAACCCCTAGTTGTTCATTTTTGTAACCGCTTAGGAAACATGAAGACTCTAGCTTAATCTTAACCTAACATCGACTACCTACATGATCCACATCCATAAATTTTAGTACACATTCGAAACTAATTACAATACGTAATTACCGCGGAAGTCATTAATATCATTAAATACATCACAAATCATGTTTATCGCGCAATAAACGAGTATTCACGTCAAAATATATCGGCTACTGTAATATTTACAAGTAACGGAGCCCGCGGCGGTCGTGCAGCCTCTAATTAATAAACACGCCAAGTTTGAAACCATCAAAATATCGTTACAACGCTTGCTACAGCACTAATCCCTAGCAGTGGCTGTCGCGTGGTGCACGGGAGGAGCGGGTAGCGATTACACACACACATTACATTACATTAGTCACTATACAAGTGAAAAAAATATTCGTGGCCTAAAGGATAAGACGTGTGGTGCATTCGTATGTAGCAATACAACGGTGTTCGAATCCTGCAGACGGGTACAAATTTTTGTAATGAAATACGTTTTTCCCTTGATTTCCACATCGTGTAACAAAAATCAAACCCGAAAAATTATAAATTGCATAATTAATGGTGGGAGGACCTCTTTTGAGTCCGCACGGGCAGGTACCACCACCCTACCTATTTCTGCCGTGAAGCAGTAATGCATTTCGATTTGAAGAGTGGGGCAGCCGTTGTAACTATACTCAGACCTTAAAACTCATACTTCAAGGTGGGTGGCGGCATTTTAGCTGTAAATGTATACGGGCTCCGGTAACCACTTATCACCAGGTGGGCCGTGAGTTCGTCCGCGCATCAAAGCAATAAAAAAATACACTTCTATTGCACGGTATTTTACAACACAATAACGAGATTTTTGCTTAAAATTATTTAGAAAATTACATTTTGCACTATACCTAGACACATATTATATAAGGTATGGGAATAACCGAGATTTTAATGCAAGCACAAATTTATACAGGCATATTTAAGATGATTAATTCAGAAAATGTACTCTGCTTTTTGTACTGGCTTCTAGCTTCATATAACACGATTTTGCACACCACGGAGTTTTCTAGGAACCTATCAACCGTGTTATAGGAAGGCTACATGTTTCATTCATTTTATATTCATAAGCTTCAGGTTCAAATTATGCCTAGCCTACAGATAGTGCTGTGAACGTCAATCCTATCCCTATCCCTGGGACATGCGTCGGAAGTCTCATTACAAATGTGATATGATTATGTCACCATCCAGACTGGAAACACATATGCTTTGCATCAGAAACAGGTATGTTCGAGTGAACTTAATGGCGGGGACAGAGAAGATTCGAGTGAGAGAAAGTGATTAAGAAAACGAGCATCATTTGGACCGTTTGAGTAGATAAGTTATCATCACGCTGCTACAGTAAAGAAGACATCATAATAATTATCGATTCTATCGATTTAGTTAGGAATATTAGTTATCGCTACCTCTCGTGACACAAAACCGTCTTAGACATAATAAAGCAGTGTTTACAACAGCTCGTTAGGAGGCAATGGCGAGACTTGGACGGGCGTTACGAAACCAAACCAAGCACTCGCTGGTACGTGTAAATATCTTCCTTGTAAATTAGTGTTGAGTACCTGTTTAATGTCAGATGTATTGCGGATCCGACTGTTTAGTTACACCAATAAAACGTTATATCGCAAATAGATTAAATATTTAACATAATTGGAAGATATAATTCAAAATTTTATCCTGAAACTCAACTAGATTAAGAAACTATGATATTGCTATAAAGCGCTTATCGAAAGTTCAGTAACTGTATTCGACTCGGTTAATTGTTAAAGTCAGAGCGCAGAATCATTTACCACAGAAACCGTATTTTTTCAATATGACGGAATAAAACAGATGGGGATAGACAGAACTTAATCAATTTTTTTTAGGATTGACGGATTACTGGTGGCCCATAGGCCTTTCCAGTTTCACCAAGACAAGCATAACTTAATCAATAAAACAGTAAATTCACAAAAAAAATTAAATCTAAAATGATTCCATCATTTACATAATACCGAAGTGCTCTATAAAATCTAAATGCTATCTCAACAATCAATGATTGGAGGCTAATCCCGCGTCCTCACAACAGCAGCTGCTCGCAAAATAACCGAAATTCAAGCGAAACTGCTGGCCTAATCGTGGGAATGTATTTATGACCTAATTAAACTCTTGTCTGCTTCCCGTCCTGCAACCAGAGCGGGACGCGCATACACGGGCACCCTGAGAACGAGAGAGACGAAAGAAACTCTGACCGAGTGATTAACGAGCGTTATATGGCTGGTTAAGTACCGTGTAATTTGCAAAACGGGGCTTAATTACGGCTACTGTTCCCGTCCCTTACCCCCCTTCTAGGTTCTTGTGCGTTAGAAAGGAGCGGCACGATGATTTCGTTGCGACTTTAAAGGTGCTATTTAATGAGGCATTATTATGTCGCCCGAACAGATTAGGTCGGTACGGCGTCGTGTTTGTCTTGCTCTTTATATTTGGCACGCTCCGGACAAACACCAGCGCTTTGCTTCTAATCATACACTTTTATAAAGCTTCTTGTTTGTAAGCGCCTCGTCGAATGAACTTACTCGAACTTTCACAACAAAACGCCTTATATGTATAATGCGGTGAGGGTTTTTAATGTGTCATATTTATCTCATTATATTAGAAAAATTTTACTAAAATAAACCGTCTTAAAAAAAAGAAGAGAAATATCATTAATGTAGTCAGTCAATTAAACATGAATATTAAGGATAACTCAAAAACAGTATTCCATAAGATTTAAACGGGATCATTTGAGAAGCTATCAAATAAAAATCGTCAAAATTGCTACACGTAGAAAGAAAATTCTTAAATATACCTACAGACAGTCGAATTGATAACCACCTTTTCCGAATTCGGTTAGAAATAGTTGATTTCTGTACAAAAATTATGTTTAATAAATGGCCTAGTCTCAATAGAACGCAACTTTAATTCTTGTTTAAATCAATACGAGTTACTTTAACAAAATTGCTATTATCTATCATCTAAATACCTACACAATTTTTTTAAATTTAATATTCAATGTACAAAAAATTTCAAATAATAAATATGTATTTTTAAGATGTTCATCTTCCGGAAATTTCGACAAGTACTGTAACGTAAGATTAGGTTAATGTTGAAACACACAAATTAACCTCAAACCCTCTTCTGCAGGTCTGGTTCCAAAACAGAAGGACGAAATGGAGGAAAAAGCACGCAGCCGAAATGGCGACAGCTAAACGCAAACAAGAAGAACTCGGCGAGGAGTGTGAGGACCAGGAGCCGCACGACAACGACCCCTGCAGCGACGAGGAGGAACCCAAGAGGCCGAGGCTCGATCTCCATCACCAGCACATCAGCCACCACCCACTGCCTCACCACCGGCAGTGATCACTCGCTGCGGGCGCCAAGCACGACGCCTGTGACAATAGTGAAGTGAAAGACAATGGTCTTATCGATATCGAGGCCGAAAGTGAGCGTAATTATCGACAAATGAAATTTAACACAAGTGAACAAGCCGATAACAGTTGTTACTTTAATACCGTGTATCCTGAGTACTTAGTGCCGCGACAATTCTGTGCCGAAACTGATGAGGCTCCGTGTGACCTGTCCAACTGGGCGGTGAGGAGCAGTGATGGAGTCAGGCCAGCCAGTGAGGGTGACAGCGACCGTAGAAACAGCGACAACTCTACGGTCGATGACAATAGCCAACAGCCTATCAACTTCGCATATTATCACTTTTAGTGTACGATATAAACATTCAGAGCCATAAGATCGCATGTCAAATATCATCAGGCTAGTTCTCATTATTCCCTGAATGAAGCAAGCTAACTTATGGAATTGAACACGAAAATACATTGACATTCTGAAATTACTTATTTTTCTAAAGGTAACTCCGCTTTCATTATTAAATTTAAGGTTTGGCTGCAAAACTTAGAACCTTAATGCTTTTGGTAAAAAAAAAAAGATTCAAAAGACACAACGAATACCTATTCAAATTTTAATAGTAATATGTTTATACTTTACAATACATGACATTGTATTTCAAATTATTTATGGCCTACTAATATGACATAGTATCTAGAAAATACTACGCAATGACATTACCTATAGTATCTAGAAAATTTAACAATATAAGTGTAAGTTTTTACAAAACATTTCGTCTAAGTGTAATATGTATTTAAAAGAACGAAATAATGTATCGACGAGACGTGAACCTAAATTAGTTCGTAAATGTAAATATAATTAAATAGTCATGTGATAGTTAAGTAAATTATTTGTATTTAGATTTTTACACATATTAGTTATAACGTGTCGACGTTTTTGACTAAACATACTACTGGTGGTAGGACCTCTTGTGAGTCCGCGCGGGTAGGCACCACCACCCTGCCTATTTCTGTCGTGAAGCAGTAATGCGTTTCGATTTGAAGGATGGGGCAGCCGTTGTAACTATACTGAGATCTTAGAACTTATATCTCAAGGTGGGTGGCGCATTTACGTTGTAGATGTCTATGGGCTTAAGTAACCACTTAACACCAGGTGGGCTGTGAGCTCGTCCACCCAGCTAAGCAATAAAAAAAAGAAAAAAAAGATCTTTGATTTAAATTTTGCTATCGAAGCACAATAAAGGAAGCTGTTAATTGAGGCACATAGATGAAGTTTGCAATACGAAACAAAAGTAACAAACAAACAAACAAACAGTATTTTATTAAGCGATAAGAAGTTAGATTTAGAAACATGAGGGCGCGGGTACAGATAGTCGCAGCCGTGTTTATGCGCCCTGTATTGGAACCGATCCTGGTAACAAATATAGACTGTGTTGGTAACCCCTGAAACTGACACAAATAAACACTACACGCAATATGACCCACAACCACGCCCCTCCGTGGTGGTCACCTTATTGACTGCACTTTACATGCTGGATATTGAATTGAACTTCCTAATTATCGTATTAAGTTTACTGGCGGTAGGACCTCTTTTCCTCTTTTTTCTTCTTCACGGGTAGGTACTACCGCCCTGCCTATTTCTGCCATGAAGCAGTAATACGTTTCGGTTGGATGGGCGGGACAGCCGTTGTAACTGTACTGAGACCTTAGAACTCATATCTGAAGGTGGGTGGTGGCATTTACGTTGTAGATGTCTACGGGCTCCGTTAACCACTTAGCATCAGGTGAACCAGTAATTACGCAAATTATATTCTTGCGGGTTTGATTTTTATTAGAATATGTTATTCCTACACCGTGGAAGTAAATCGAGAACATTTGTTGAGTACGTATTTCATTAGAAAAACTAGTACCCGCCTGCGGGATTCGAACACCGGTGCATCGCTTAACACGAATGCACCGGACGTCTTATCCTTTAGGCCACGACAACTTACTTCCCCCATTTACGCATTAAAAATAACATTTATGAAAGGAAGTAGAATTATGATTTTGAATTAACCTCCTGATGAGCCTCAAAACTTTGAACAGAACTCAGACCTGATCACAATGCAGAAAAAGTAAAATTACATTAGAAACATTTTATTTTAATATTAATTACCAACAAACATGCTTTACTTCAATATGTCCTTGCTATACTCACATGTCAGAAACAGAGTAATAAAAGTGTAAGCTTTAATAAATCCAATATCTAAGCGAACGGTTAGAATACAATCTTTTAGTTTATAATGATCTTTGCTGAACAAACCTTCTTCGACACGTACCGTAAATCTATGAACAACTAACTGATAGTAGATAATATCGGAATGATGTAATACTTGATGATAATGATGATGAAATACTTGGCCGACGTAATTACGGGCTGCGACGTGGCGCCGGACCCCCGCACTTATGTTTTGTAATTATGTAATATGCATCAGAAAAATATTAAATCATAGCTTTGTATATATTATACATATAACGTTTTTGGCATTGTAAATATATTTATAAGCAAAACCGCGTTTTATTGTTAGTCGATAGTCGTTGCCGCGCAATATGTACATTGTGTAATGATAATGAGATAATGTAAATAAATATTTAAAAAAAACAAACTGCCTTTAATTTTGTTCGAGTCATTATTGAAATGGATCGTTTTTTTTTTTCCTACCTAAGCTGAGAGCCTTGAGAGGCTATTTCAGCGTAACCCTAACTTTTGTAGGTGAGCTCACGGGGCTCAAACCTGATGACGTTGCTAACACGAACCCTAGCAAGAGCCGTGCTTCGCAGAATCTACCACCGGATCGGAAACGCGACCCACTGAGAAGATCCGGCGAGAAACTCAGTGGGCTGTGTCTGAGAGTTAATTTACTCGTCGAGCCCTTCGTCGCAAGCGACGGGTCCGACGGGAACGGTGACCGGTGCTTGAAGTACCTAGAAGCACCGTTAGTGGATCGGGAGGATCCGAGATGACGTGTTTTGGGCGACGTCGGAATGGATCCACGATCTATTTCCCGCTAGGCTCACAGCTAAGACCAGCCTAACGTTATTTTTAATTGGCAAATCAATAACCAACTAGAGGTCCCGCAGTAGTCGAAATTCGACTATAATTAATTGGAACTGTAAGTTTGTACACTATTATGATTGTATTTTATACTTTTATAATCACAAATTTCGCCAAGACTACACTATAAAAAATATTAACAAAGACAAACAATATTTAATCTCAATTTTAATAACAGACGTCAAGAACAAAAGTTTGACAATAAATAGTATGCATGCGTGTGTGCGTCAAATACATGGTATGTAGTGTGTGTAATGTTTTCTTTATTGATTTAATGTACATTTTATGCATTATTTAAAAAAAAAAATAGCATTGTGCACTTCTTCTCTATATTCTCTATAAGTGTGGAAAATTTCATACCTCTCCGTCCGCGCAATTTTCGTAAAAAGGGATACAAAGTTTTTGCTTCACGTATTAATATATAGATTGGCAACATAATAATGGCTTTTGTTAATGAGATTAAAGGCAAACCATTCTACGGTTCGCCTGATGGTAAGTAGTAACCTTCCCCCAAAATACGCTAGCAAAGCCTAGCGGAATACGCCGTTAGAAGAAGGACATACAAAAGCGCTTAATATATAAGGGTGAGAAAACCCTAAAATAACGTGACAAAAATGATCTCGGGAAATTCCATGTATGTAAATGGAATAAGCCCGGGTAGTAGAGATGAACTCTAAGTAAAGAAAGTAAGTAAGTAAAAAAGTATTGAACATGAGATACAAAACACAAAGACTAGAAAACTCTTCGTAGACCGGAAATTGTATTGATTTTAAGGTTAGAAATCTATTCTACGCAGTGCATTAGAAACAGGAACAGTGACTCCATGTCTTCTAGATTGAGAATTGTATCCCTTAAGATTTTATTATTATAGGGAATTAATTGTTTAAAAATATTTAAACACGTATACTTAAAAAAATATTTATATACAAAACAGCTGAATATTGAGTTTTTGCCTACCTATTCGCTGGTGGTCTAGGGTGGTAGGTGAGCTTACGGGCTCAACCTGAGAGAATTTCCTAACACTGGCCCTAGCAAGAGAAATGCTTCACAGAATCTATCACCGGATCGGAATCACGACCCACTGAGAAGATCCGGCGAGAAACACAGTCGGTAGTGTCGGGTTAATTCGTTCGTCGGACTCTTCATCGTATTCGGTAAGTTCGATGAGGAAGGTGACCAGTGCTTAAAAGCACCGAGAGTGTATCTGGCGGATCCGACAAGACATATCTTTCTGTGTCGGATATATAAATAGCGGCGGCCACGATAAGCGGGTATCGTGTCGCGCCGCTTTTTCATAGTAACGTTCTGACGCTTCCTTTAGATACTTACGTATCGCTGCTATATTTAAGTCGTAGTGAAGATATGCGTTCCTTATGTACCACGGTGCTCTAACGACTCACGCAATTAAGTCTCAAAGAAAATGGAGTCATTCACGTTATCCTGCGTGGGTAAGGGATATTCCCTGAAAGTAATCTGTGATGTTCAGTTAAACGTTTTACCAATGAACTGTAAGTTATTAATAGAAGTGGTCTAAGTAAAACTAAGTGTTTACTTTAAGACGCGAGCACAATCACCGAAAAAGACCATAAACTATTTATATGAAGCTGCGACGGAGATGTCCCGTGTTGCGATCGGAAAAATGTAATTTTACCTACTCATGATTACTGCAAATCTCATAAACAACATGTTAAGCAACGAATGAACGCAAAATAGTGTCCCAACCAAGCTGTAACATCGAAATCGATAAACTTCATCAAAACAATCGATGCACTAAAAAGATCTAACTGCGCCCATTGCGAATGTAACTGGCGACCCGTAACTACATACATTGAAAACTATCACAAAAACAAGAGGGCACCGGAGGAGGCGTGCAAGAATCGCGACTCCCGTCACCATGGTAACCGATGTCA